TGAATTTTTAGAGGAAGCTTTCTTATTGGGAACTCCATGAACCAATAAAATCACACAATAACTACCTTACATAATTTCTCAGTGTATTCGCTGCTTTGACAAATGAACTATTTAAAGTCCCATTTTCAAAATATCCAAATCCTTCAATTAGGTGGTATTTAACAATGCAAGCACACACATCCATGTAGGCACATATGCACACACACACACACACACACACACATACACACACACACAAACACAGTAATTAAATGAGTATCAGAAATATCTGACCTAGACCAGGGATTCTATATCGTCTCTAAACAATCTCTTTCCACAAGATGATGAGGAATGTTAGTGGAAATCACAAGTTAGGTTTATATAGTTCTTATGTAAAGTAATCCATCTGGACAGACTATGAGGAGATCCGGTACGGGTTCCTCTCATTTGGGGCATGACCATGGTGCAGGAAAAATGAATCCGCTAATATATTTTAGAACAAAACAGAGAATGCCCATGTAGTTCTAAGGCTGTAACACATCTAGATGAACTCTGCCTGGGTTAATTCAGAGGAGGATTCCGAGCAACATAAAATATTGTCAGTTCAAGAGTTTGCTTATCCAAAGGAGTCCAAAGAAACTGGGCTGCTGTCATGTTTTATTTTCCCCTAGCAAGGTGACATTAAGAATGTGCATCACTCTCTTGGCCTAGTTCTTGAACAATATATGATCCTGAAGAATTGACTTTATTGGAGACTTCAGTTTCCTTTACCAATAGAATGTAATAAGGGCGTTTTTCTGTTGCTTTGCTTTGCACATGGTAGGAATTTAATGCATGTTTGTTACATGAGTGAATGAAAAGATGGATTGCCTTTTGGGCAACTCCAAATCTGTATTAGGTTGAATAAGTTGGACTTTAATAGACTAGAAAGACCAAGCATGTCAATTGATACATTTAAAAATAATTTTCTATCATTTCTTCTATCCATACAAATGCACTTTAAGTATATATATATGTACATATATTATATATAAATATAAATAATTGTACTTTGAAATAAAAATTTTCTAGCTCCTATTTCTATTTTCTTTGTCTTATGGGTAAAAAAAAATGGACCATCCCAACTGGTGTGGCTTGGTCCTTTTGATGTATTCTTAAATTCCAGTCTCTCTAACTCAAGAGGGTTTAATTGCATTGCTACATTATGATATGATATATAAAACAGCAGCAGAGTTGTAAGAATTCTGCTACTATAGAGTTACACTTCACATTGGAAAGAGATTTCATCTCTGATTATTGCAGCCTGAACTGTTCTATGAGGTTCTCCTTTACAGGCAAAGTCTTCTCTAATAGCAGAAAGAAGACCAGGGATGCATGCACATGATGGCTTTTGCTACAGTCACACTCTTGTGACTAAAGAGGGAAGGGAAGAAAATAAGCATTTTAAATGCCTATAATGTGCCAGTCACTGTGTTAAGCACTTTACAAATATTTTGATCTTCACAACAACCCTGTGAAGTAGGTGCTACAGTTATCCCATTTTCCAGTTGAAGAAACTGAGACAGAGATTAAATAACTTGGCCAAGGTTACTCAGGTAGTATTGGAAGCCAGATGAACTCAGGTCTTCCTGACTCCAGGCCTAATTCTCTATCTACTGCTGCTCCTCTAAAGGTACAAATGGAGTTGAGTATTTTCCAGATACATCAAAACTACGCAAAGCATTCATTCTATACATCTTTCACTTAAGAGCTGTGGAAATAGGTACAATACGTATTTTTAAAATTACACTTACATTGTTCAGGGACAATCAACTACATTTCATCATCATTCTTCAAGGCTTATTTCCCCCCTTCTAGAAGAAAAGCAACACCAAAACAAGAATCTGGAACCAAGCTTGGCCTTTAAAGAGACTACCGGTAGTACCATGGATCATTTTTATTAATCCTTTTGTTATAGGTGTTTTTGTTAGGAATGGAGTGCCTTGGGTGGAAGATAACGTAGATTTGTCACAAGAAAATGAGACTGTCTGCATTACCAACACATACTATTACATTTATTCTTGCTTTGCAGTTACAATATAGACATTATGTCAAGTGGCCTCGAACTACCCGGTGTAATAAATGATATTTCAACTTCCCTACCTTCCTTAGACATTCTTACCTTTGCGTTCTATTTAACTACACTGCTGCTGAAAAGAGAACCCTCAGTTAATCTATTAGCATTGGAGATAAAATAAAATGTCCAGCTTTCAAAGTTGTTAAAGCACTGTCTTTTACATGAAGCCTTTCCTGATCCCCTCAGCTATTAGTGTCTTGTCTCCCAAACTACTTTTTACTTAATCTCTCTCCATCTCTGTCTCTGTCTCTGTCTTTCTCTCTCTCTCTCTCTGCCTCTCTTTCTCTCTCTTTCTCTGTCTATGTCTCTCTCCCTTTCTCTCTCCCTCAATATGTATATATGTACATATACACATGTGTGTGTATTTGTTAAATTTATGTTTCTCTTATATATATTTTTGTACTTGTTATCTCCCCCATTAGAACGAAAATCCATTGTAAGTGGAGATTGTTTCCTTTCTTGTGCTTATATGCCCAGACTAGCAGTGCTTGACTTTTCAATCAATCAATATTTCTGAAGTGCCTACTATGTGCTAGGCACTGTGCAAAGCTCTGGGGATACCAAAAGAGGCTAAAGACAGTCTCTGACCTCAAGGAGACAACACTTAAACACACACACACATAATAGATAGATATAGATATAGATATAGATATAGATATAGATATAGATATAGATATAGATATAGATATAGATAGATATAACAATCAAGCTATATATAGGATAAAAAAGAAATAATTAAGAGGGAAGACACTAGAATTAAGTATTAATAAATACTTACTGATTGATTGATTTAGCATCACAGTATAAGGGTAGGATTCCACTAACAACTGTACTCCCATTAAAAATAATTGCATTTATTAGGTAAAAGCTGTTCTTGACTGAGTAAATCAATTACAACTATATGGGAACAGGGCCAGTAGATCACCTTGAATCAATCAAAGTCATTGCTTGAGAGACTTGGACAAGCCCTAAGGAATTTGCATAAAAGGAAAGAATGGTCAGAAGAAGCTAGGTGGTCAGGCAAGTGGATAAAATGATGGACCAGAAGTCAGGAAGATCTGAGTTCAAATCCTACATCAGACATATTAACTGTGTGATCCTGAGCAAATCATTTAATTAATCTCAGACTATTTTCTCATCTGTAAAATAGTGATAATGATAGCAGCTACCTTAAAGTGTTGTTATGAGGACTCTGCAAATCCTAAAGTTCTCAATAAATGCTAATTATTGCTATTTCAAAAACAGATAGCAATTCTATGGGTCTGGAAATAGAAAGAAAGGAGTTGAGTCATGTAGAGCTCAGCCAGGAACTGGTAGCCCAGAGAAACCAGGAAAGGGAGAAAAAAATAAACTAGAAATGAGCAGAGAAGAAAGATATTAAAGAAGACATCAGCTTTAAAAGCATTTTAGGAGAAAGGATTTGGGCTGATGTTGCTGGTGCACCCACCTACTAAAAGGCAAAGGAGATTCTTTACTAAAGGTCAGCTCTTCCCCCAACTTCCTTTCCTGTTGCCTGTGTTTCCACAGTCACTATAATATAATCTTCTATTTCACTACTCATACATTTTCAGTAACTTGAATTTTGCCTCAACCACAAAAGTCCAGGGGTTCACTAGAGACTGATATAAATGCAAATTTAGGCTAAAAGTCCAACCTTTGCTTTAATGTTAGGAATTTTCCTAACTAGGAACTGAGAACAATTTCTAACTTTTGTCTAAAATAAACTGACTAAAATTATATGGACATTGAGGCCTGTTACATTGCCCCTAGAAATGACCTAATTATTGCAACAGGGGCTGGAAAGTAGAAAGATGAATAAAGGCTTAATGTAGAAAATGGAACTTGGGCTGAACTTTGAAATAAGTTAGGGATTCTAAGAGATGAAGGTGGGAAAGAATGTGGGCATGGAGGACACTCATTTGTAATAAAATCCAAATTCTCTTTACAATAATTGCCACCCACTGCAAGTTTACTAATGTATATCTTTGGGCTTAGTACTTTATAAAACTATGAGGAATATTATTATTACATTGATGGTTTCAGTTTTCTAGCTGTATCAACTTTATTTTTCCACCACAAAAAGAACAACCTAACATAGTAAAAATAGTTATAAAATAATATAATTATATAAATATATAGTTATAGAAATAATATAATTAAAATAGTTAACATAGTAAAAATCTCTTCTTTGGTTTCCTTATCCTATTTAGTTGTCTTCCAAATCCTAAGTCATTGGTTAACTGATTGGTCTTTCAATTTGCTTTGTGTTGCAACTGGCCTGAATAAAGAGTCCATTTCTTAGGGCTGAAATACCCTTCTTTTTTATGTTTCTATACATTAATTTCCTTCATTTTCTTGTCTTTTAGAACTTTAATTGTAATGAGCTACATAAGATATCTTTTCTGTCTTTAATTGACATTTTTTTCTACTTTTTAAAACATTCTTTTTTTAAATAAAATTTTGAGTTCCAAATTTTCTCTCTCTCAGTCCCTTCCTGCCCTTCCTTCATCCCTAACATAGTAAACAATTTGATATATGCAATCACATAAAATATATTTCTATATTAGTCATGTCTTATATGAAAAAAAAGAATAAAAGCAAAACTATGAACAAAATAAAAAGTAAAAATGGTAAGCTTTGATCTACATTCAGTTCTTTCTCTGGATGTGAAAAGCATTTTCCATCATGAGTCTTTTGGAACTGTGATTGACAATATTTGAGATTTGACTTAAGGAAATTAATTTGTCTGCATCCAGACACCACAGAGATTGTCTCCCCTTTCTATTTATCAACAACTTACTCCTATTTGGTTGCCATTTAGTCTTCATCCTGAAATACACATTCCCTTATCTAATGTTTATACTTTTACTTATTTCTTTATTAACCTTATGGAAGGTCAACTTACCTGTTGAACCACATCTCTTGGATCAACCTCTTTGAGTGGGTGTTCAACCTTCTTTTCTATTGTGTAATATATAATCTCCGTTGTTGCTTTAATGTTTCCATCACAGTAGACATTTACATTGACAGAGCCAGCAGGGAAATCTTAGAAAATACAAATAAGAATGAGGAACTGAATATAATTCACATCCCACATCTTTATGTAATTTGAAGAATAGATGCAAAGTTTGTGACCTGCGCATAAAGATTTCACAGTAGTCTTAGCAGAAGCCTTTTAAAATTGGATCTTTTACTTCAACACAAGTACTGGAGAGAAAATCCATACTTGTAACTCCTAAAAACCTTAGGGAAACACAAGAACATGATGTTTCAAATCAGAAAAAACAAAAAAACAGTAAAGCAGGAGAATTCTTCCTCCTACTCATCAGCCCTCCCTCTTGGGACTGACAATCTATAGTCACCACTGTAATGCATCAGAATTCAGGAGGGGTTTAAGTCATTCATTAGAAATTGTGTATTTGCTATTAATCTACTAAAATAAGCTTTCCTTAATTACAGGCAAGCTTCTTAAGATTGTCTTTGGAAGGGGCAGTGACAAATGAAATTTCAAAACTTACATTGCAGTTGCTTACATTGAAAAGCCTTGGGGGGGGGTATCTTAAAGTCTGCTCCCTTAGCACGATTTACTCCATACTAACGCATATAACCCTTCCTCATGACCCAGGTGTGCTCATTAGTATTATGCTGACTACATCATTTTTCTTACTAGACCACCCCAGCAGTGTTCAAGTTGCCTTAATACTTGAGATATCTCCATGAAAGAATAATTGTGGGCAAACATTTCAATGGAAAAGATACCAAGTGGCATTATTTTGAACAGAATTTGAAATCGTCTTCATTTTTATGGAAAATACATCCACCTCTCTGCAAAGAGAAATTTGCTAGCATCAGGTAAATGACCATCTTGCAGACTCCAGTCTGGAAGGCAAATGAGTCAACAAAACATCTGAGCTGGTCTTAGTCACTTGATAAAACTCTGGGCACATTCAAAAGCTCTTCCTGGCCAAGTATTAATCTTGCCTCTCTTCAAAAATTATAATATTCCTCTGGGAAATCTACAGAAACTCAGGGCAGTTCTGATTATAAGGGAAGCAGTCCCATTGAGGATCAAGCCTAAATATCCCTTTTATCCTTTCAGAATTGTTCATCGGTCAGCCAGTCTAGTCAGTCAATATATAATGAACAGGCAAAGCAGGATGACATTGACCGTGGGGTGTTTTAGAGAAAATAAAAGGTTGTGATTTCTGTTCTCAAGGAACAAACAACTTAATGGGGAGGGAGGGAGGAGGAAGTATTGGAATTGAGACATGTAAACATATGTAGCTACATTAAGCTAAACCCACAATCATAAGCAGGTTTGGAAGCAAGAATTCAATCTTTGAAAACTGATGAATTAATCAACAAGTATTTATTAAGAACCTGTTATGTGCCAGGCGCTTGCTTTAGAAGGGTAAAGACACTGTTTCACAAAGACTAGAGAAAATGTATTATAAATGGATGGGACAGCTTGGGAAAAATTGAAGAGGCAAGACGAAATGTCCCACTATTGGTTGGTAAAGCTGGTTTTCTTGATATAAGGAGAGTGCTTGGGCTACGATGTTAAAGATTTCATGACATTTGTGAGGGGAAAAAAAGGAGCCAGGATTCACCTAGAAAGTTATTGATTCATTTCCATCTCAACTCTTTAACCAACAGCATTTTCTTAGCAATATGGTATATAGACATATCCCAACATTATAGAACTTGTCATTAGGAAAGTTTGGGGTAAAGTGAAGAGTAAAGTGAAGACTTTGACAAAATATTATTTTAAAATGAATACCAGTAGTAATGGTTTTTCACAAAAATATCCTCATTGAAATGATTTCTTTACATTGGAATGTTTTAATCTGTTGAGTGGCCATCATAAAATTAAGAGCCAAATTGCTGCTTCTCCATAACGTCAATAACTATATAATCAGGCAAAGTATGCCAAACAGTAGCACTTTAGAATGATACAATTAGTGATATTCCTGTGGTCATGGAGAGTAGAAAGATGTGAAAAAGGGGAGGCAAAGGATGAGACTACTGCGGAAGTCACTATGCTTTATGTTTCTCAGTTTCCTCATCTGCAAAATGGGGAGGAGATAGTTTATATGGTTTCTAAGGTTCTTTCAAACTCTAAATCTATGACATTTGATGCTATGATCCTTGATCCCCCAGAAAGCTAATACACTCCCAGGGAAGGAGGATGAAAGAGGAGACATAGAAAAATGGTTTGGAAGACAGGGAGCCTGGCTTTCAGTCTCTCTAAGTCACTTTAATTATCTGGAACTCAGTTTTTTTTACTATAAAACCAGGGAATTGAACTAGATGATCTCTAAGCTTCCTTTTAGATTTAACACTTTATGATTGCATAGAATAACCCAATGTTCTCATGAGAATCATTGTACTGTTTTCTATCTCCACAATTTTCTGTCTATCCTGGCACACTGGAAATGACCTGATAAGTAATTAAGCATAGAGAATCTAATCCAAAGAAATCCCCAAATAATTGGACATTTCATTGTTTGATCTCTAAAAGGTGATACATTTCTTTTCATGAATACACAAAATTAAAAAGCGGTTTTTAAGCTCTTTGGAATTTCCATTGTCTGAGAAGCTGCCTCCATTGGAGGGGGGGGGGGAGAAGCAATTATATAGCCCAGTCCCATCTGGTGAACATTAATCTCTTTGCCTTGGGTTTCTATGGGAACCAATGTGGATCTGTTCTGTTGAGATACTTAGTTTTTGTATGTTCATCCTGAAATGAAGCTATGTGGCTTCAAAAATGTGTCATACCTCAAAGAGTAGCATGAGTTTGCTCTTTATTAAGTATGCTTCCTCCAAATTATGAAATTCAGAAATAATTTTTACAACTAAATAAGACTGCTTTTTGAAAGAAATCAACAGAATCTCTGAATAGTTTAAACATAAAATGTGACTTGCCTGAAAATATTTCTCATAGCCTTTATCAACTCAATCCCATTCAGCAAAAATTCATAAATTATCTACTATATGCAAGGGATTTTGCTGTGGATATAAAGACAAAAGACATAGAAATCCCTGTCCTCAAGGAGCTTATAATCTACTATGTACAGCTCTTATACAAATAAATGAATGCAAGGTCATCTGAGGTAGGAGAAAGAGTTAACAATTTGGAGAATTAGGGAAGGCTTCAAGAAAGAGAAAATACATGAGGTTAATAATAAGGACTCTGAAGGGAGATGAGGAAAGACTGAATTCTAGGCAGAGGGGATGATTGTGTAAAGGAATGTATGTTGGAAATGGAATGAGCTAGTAGTGCAATTTTTCTAGAACACTGGAGTATGATGGAGAGTAATGTAAGAGAAAGTTGAAAAGGCAGATTGGACCTATGCTGTGGATGGACTTAAAAACTGTGTTTTGTATTTTATCCTTGAGACAAAAGAGAACCATTGGAGGCTTCTGAGCAGGGGATTGTCATGATCAGATCTATGCCTTAGCAAGATCATTTTCACAACAATGTGGAGGAGGGAGGAGAGACTTAAAGCACAGAAACTAAATAGAAAACCATTTTAATAATCAGGAAAGAGTTATGATGAAAACTGCTGTGAGTGGAGAAAAGGAAAAATGTAAGAGATGTCACAAAAGCAATATTGGTGAGACGGCAACTGAGCAGTAATAGAAGACATGGTAAAGAATAACTCGGAGGTTACAAACTCATGTAGGTTTAAGGATTGAAAGAAATAGAGAAGTTGTGAGAAGAGAGGGATTTAAGGGGAAAGATCATAACTTCTGTTCTGGACATGTCAGTGAAACATCCAAGAAGAGTTAGCCAGAGCGTAATTGATGATATTGGGTTGGGGTTTAAGAGGAAGATTAGGGCTGAATATATAGATCTGGTAATCATGTGCATAGAAATGATAATACAATGCACTAGATCTGATGAGGTCACCAAAGGAGTATTAGGTGAGAAGAGAAAGCTCAGGAAAAAAACTTGAAGCTTAGTGGGCAAGAGATAAATGAGGAAATGGAATAAATGCTAAAAAGGAATAGGTAGTAGGAGACCCAGGAGACAGAAGCATTATAGAAAACAATTAATAATTTTATCAAAGTGACAGGATATAAAGTAAATCAACATAAATCATAGCATTCCTATATATCATAAACAAAACTCTGCAAGAAGAAATGGTAAAAAAAAATACCCCATTTAAAATAACTCTAGATAGTATAAAATACCTGGGATACACCTGCCAAAACAAATTCAGGAACTATATAAACAAAATTAGATTAAAAAAACTTTTTAAACAGATAAAATCAGATTTAAATAATTGGAGAAATATAAATTGTTCATGGGTAAGTGGGCCATTTTACCCAAACTAATTTACATATTCAATGCCATCCCAATTAAATTACCAAATTTTTTTTGTTGAATTAGAAAAAAATAATAATATTCATTTAGAAAAACAAAAAAGTTAAGAATATAAAATAATGAAAAAAATGTAAAGGAAGGAGGTTTAGTAGTACCAGATCTTAAATTATAATATAAGGCAGTTGTTATCAAAACTGTCTGGTACTGGCTAAGAAACAGAAAGGTAGATCATGGGATATATTAGACATACAATTTACAGCAGCAAATAAACAAAATAACCTTGTATTTGACAAGTATAAAGACTTAGGATTTTGAGATAAGAATTCATTATTTGGTAAAAAGAAAAAGTTGGGAAAACTGGAAAGCAGTATAGCAGAAACTGGGCATAGACCAATACCTTACACCATCTACCAAGCTAAAGTCAAAATGGATACATGACTTATATATAGAGAGAAATTTAGAAGAACATGGAACATATTACTTATCAGATTTATGAATAGGAGAACAATTTATGAATAAACAAGAGATAGAGAACAAAGCTAGGTACATAATGGATAATTTCAAATAAATAAAATGTTAAAGTTTTTGTATAAATAAAACAAATTAGCCAAGATCAGAAGGAAAGCAGACAACTGGGAAAAAATATAGACAGTTTATCAGATAAAGGTCTCATATCTCAAATATCTAAAGAACTTTGTCAAATCTATAAGAACAT